AAGTTTTTATGATGTATCATAATTAATGGAACTTTGATATTGCATCGTTAGAAATTTAAATTAAATTTTTTCAATAATTAAATTTTTTCAATAATTAAATTTTATGTCATTTTTATAGCATCAAGGCATGATATAAGCTCCTAAATAAGGTTAAGGATATATATATATATATATATATATGTGTGTGTGTGTATATATGTATGGTTGAAGGTATATGTGCTTTTAAACCTATTTAAAAGTTTACATTTTAAATAGGCATTTAAAAAGAGTTCAGGCCAACGTTTCAAAAGCTCGTGCTTAAGTATAAAAAGAACAAAAAGCGGTTCAGGACTTCAGGCTATTCATTCCACCCCTTTGCCCCACTTTACGTCTATATATTATTTACCGTGCAGTAAGTGAAGCTATTGATTGCCCAATTTACAATTAGGCATGAGAATGACTTTTTAAAAGCTAACGAAAAGTTCTATGTATGAGCAAGATGATAAAATATGATTTATAGGAGAGGGGAAAGATATACGCACCAAAGAAAGCCAGCAAAATTTCAAATTTTGTCATTGAGTCCGATCATGGTGATGCAGTCAACTTCTTGCGATTAGGAAGAGCCTGTTGATAAATTTGAAAAAACATATATTAAGAATTACAATAAATCCCATGATGTAATAACTGAATTTTAAATATTACGGTCATATAATATAAATAATGAATTAACTTTAAAGATCGCTTTATTTTCAGAATAAAGACATTCCCCCAAAACCAAAGGCTAGTTCAAACTTTAGTCCAGTTTCCTTTCTTTGTTTTTGTTTTTGTTTTTGGCCTCCTTTTGACTAAAATGTATTCCATTAACTCAAATACGGATGATTCTGAGTATATCCTCCAAAGTCAAAAGTGTAAGGCTGTTGAACCAATATCTCCGGCTGGTAAAGGCGAGCTTTGCTAGCTTAAATGCACCTTAACATCATGGCAAGGAGGGGGAAAATCAGGTAATATTATTGAAATTAAGGCAAGAAAGAAGGACCAGAAAAAAATCACCATATCAAAACACCTGCCATTACATGAGCTAAAGCACTATGAGAATCATTAAGGTTGTGCAACATCTAGCTATAAAACTAAATCTAAACGTAAATTTCCTCAACAATCTGGTAAAGGTAGAATGTATAGTGAATCTTCCCTTACCCTTGGTAAACAGAATATACACTTTCCCCAACTTTTAAAGCTCTATCAGAATGAGGAAAGTGTCATGTTAAATCAAGACACCATGTTAATATGGTCATGCCATACTAAAAATGTAATAAATGAGTCCAATAATTTTCAAGATAAACTAAACACGTGAGTCTTACTCCAAGAAATCACATTTCAGGAATGTACCCTGATGCAGACAAGAGGAGATGACAGATGAAGAGTTATCTACAGTTATGTATGTTATGCAGGAGTAAGGCCAAAGACGGAACAGTAAAAAATGCTGTTACCAAGGAGCAGCGGCAAGCAAGCCAGACACATAGCCTGTCTCAAGCATGTTAGTTAGATAGAATCGTTCAAATCCTCTGCAGACTGATCAGTCCATCCAACGGTGATAAAAAGCCACTATGCATTGCACTCATCAAGTAGATGACAATATGGTCAATACATATACAATAATAACAACAAAGCTTTATTTCGCTAGGTGGGAAAAATGGTCAACACATGTAACAAAAAGAAAAGTTCAGCATGTCATGAAGAAAGAATTCAGATTTAACAGTGAAGAAAGCAAACAGTAGCATAATATGCTTCCAAAAGAGAATTTCATCTGAAAAGTAGTACTATATTCAATCCATGCAAAGAGGAAACGCAGAAACAAAGCTATGGAAGCGAATAACTAAATGTTGATACACCCAAAGACACACCAACTGCATAAATTGTATATCTCAAGCTTACCATCGGATTTATAGTCACATAGTGATATATCTTTACCTCCAGAGATAATAGGCCTTAAGCCTTTCAGCTTCCACAGAGAGCTCTATCAATGGCATGTTTAGATATATCCCCCACAGCCAGCTGGTAATAAATGGGAAATGCAACAACTTCAACGCTAGTATTTCCTCACATCATTTCATTCTCTCAGGAGGACATCCTATGCTTAGTTAATTTGGTAGCTGATTCCTATCATATTATTAAACTTCATCAATATATTTGAAACACCAATATATTTCCTCACATCACTTGTTGCTAATGCATTAATGCAGTTAATTTCAATTACAATGACAACAAAAACCATGATTAGCCCAGTCCTACCGAGGTGCTCAAGCCCATAAAACTCTCCTACCTTTGGATTCACTACGAGAGCTACATCAAATAAAGCCCTTGGTTGTGCTGTCTCCACTGTCAAGAAATCACTCCTACAAGGTGATTAGCTATCAATATCACTGCTCACAGCAACAGAAATTGTTAAAGGTGCAACCACTGAGAAAATAAAGTTCATCTCAAAATTTGACAATCAAATTCAAGTAATATTAGCATAATAACAATTTCTGGTCATCATGCTTCTACCACGTCATATGACATGAAGATTGCCAATAAATGAATTCCATGGTGTGGTGACTGAAAATAAGCATCCAGCACATTACACATTAGCTTAGAACATGAAGAAAAAGCAAGAAAACAGATCTGAAATTCTAGACTAGATCAAGCTCAAACTTTTTTGAACTATCTTGAGATCTCTACTCACAAGGTCTTCTAAGAGATTGTTTATGTAACGCTACAGATGCCAGAACACCACAACCATTGATATGTTGCTCATGGATAAATGACTACGCATATTGACAGTTGAAGACTCTGACAATTATACAAAAGTCCAGAAAGATAACTGAGCCCATGTGTTGAGGGCATTAACAGCTCCTCCAATATTATTAAATAAAGCTTATGTTCGTTAAATATTTCAAAAAGTGAAAGTCATGCACCAGGTGACTAAGAGAAATCACCAGCAGTCTCCAAACAGGAACGCTTTATTTTCCCTTCTCACCTGCCACAAGACGTTAGTACTACTTGTATATTAAGAACTGCTACAGACGAAGAAATCCATGCAAAAGTCGTTGCAAGACATCAAAAGTGAAAAAAACAAGTGAACTGAACAAAATTACCCAAATATTTATAAATCAATGTCAGGAAGCCAAAGTGTTGGCCTTTCCCTTCAAGTGGTGGTATCTAACCATAGTAGTCTGCAAGCCAGAGCATTTATCAGAACAAAATCCGATATTTCACTACTGCAGCATTTTAACAGAAACACCAAAAGATTAAAGCCTCCGAACAGAACACATTAATAGACCTAAACAAACATAACTAGGAAGCAGGAAGTCACTGCTCCCTGGTTTTGGCCTAAATTACGCTTGAGACTCCCACCTAGCAGACAATAATTTACAATTAAAGCATTGCATGAATTAACAGTATAAAAATTGAAGACTATATAAAAAACCCTTCCAAATCCAACCACACAACAATAGAAAAAACTTTGCAATAATGTAGCTTGCACATCCAAAAGAAAAATAATAATAAAAACAAAGCAGCTCACAAAAAACCAAAGATTAATTCATCTGTTTCCCTCGATAATCTGTGCTTTTACCGTCAAACCACCAATGTTATCATCACCGAAGTTACTCCACCACGCTTCCAGGACAAACCAACGGCTCCTCATCAGGTTCATTTACGCACCAATCAAATTTTTAATAGCTCCACAACCACAGCCACAGGAGAGCTATTGACTGCCGAAGGACTTGCTCCACAAGAGAGATATTTAATTTAATTTAATTTAAAACTAAATCCCAAAGCAAAAACAAAAAATATTGGCACAATCATTGATTCCCTAGAGAAAATACTATGTAAAACATTAACAAATTACAGAAACATAGGCTTTTACCATCCACAGGGGAAAAAAAAAACTAATTATATAAACGCTTTTCTGCAGTAAAGTCGAATGTGAAGGCACCATTCTCTAATGCAGTAACTGAAATATAAAAACGGACACCAGCCATCGCTAAAGAATGAAATGCTCCAATTTCGGCAAACAGGAAACTTAAAATTTAAGCCTACCAATTTGGTTTTGAATAAACAAAAGCAAAGAAAAAGGTGTTCGGTTCTTTTTGAGGAAGCAAAATATGATATTAACAATGAAACGATCAAGATACAGCCGCTCTAGCGAGCAGATGTCCCTAGAGAGGAAAAGGAAGTGATTGGGAAAAAACCGTTTAGGCAGTAACATTAAAATATTCGACAAGCATACGACAAGTTAACGAATAGATGACCAGCAAACAATGTCCCCTCAAATAGCAAAAGGGACACTGAAGAATGGCGGGAAAGAAAAACAAGTACCTGCAAAATGTCGAGGCCTCACCCAATTGAAATGCCAACGAGAAAGTCGAATATTACGGCGTATTGCAAGCGAAGAAAGGAGAGGAGAGAGAAGAATCAGAGGACAACCCGTGGAGTATCATCGAACATCGCTGGCTGGGGGCTTTAAGAAGCACAGCTGGATCACACATTGACACTCGGCGATGAAAATCATCGGGTACATAATCAAAAACAGAAACTTTCAATGTCGTCAAACGTTCTTAGATTTCTGGTGAGTCTTGCGTCTATTTGTTTTTGTCAACGTTCAAAGTTCCTGGAATGCTGGAAATTTCTCATGCTACCGTATTAGGATTGCTCTAGCTAGCTAATGACCCTAGAACTGCATTTACAGCATTATTTTTACAGCAAAGCAACTGAGGGACACAAAAATAGATACCATCACATTCAAGAACATATAGTACCAGCAGTCTCTATAACAGGAACGCTTTATTCTCTTTTCACATCTGCAACAAGATATTAGTATTGTATCCAGAATTGAGAACCACTACAGACGAAGAAATGCCTGCAGAAGGTGTTGCAAGATATCAAAAGAAAAAAGAAGTGAACTAAACAAAATTGCACAAATATTTAGAAAATCCCACAGTTTCAGCGACGAAGCAGAGTTGCAATACCAGCATCAATCAATGCCAGGAAGCCAAAGTATTGGCCTTCCCTTCATGCGGTCGTATCTAACCATAACAGCCTGGAAGCCGAAGCATTATAAGAACAAAATCAGATATTTGACTACTGCAGCATTTTAATAGAAAAACCAAAAGCTAAAGCCACCAAACAGAACACGCTGATGACGCTAAATGACTAGGAAGTCACGGTTCTCTAGTCAAGGTTTGGCGTAAATTACTCGAGACTCCCACCTAGCAAACAATAATTTACAATTAAAGCATTGTATTAAATAACATTATATAAGATACTGTTGTCAAATTGTTTCGAATCATCAGGTTTCAAACAGCAAGCAATGAACTAGGCATGCTATGTTTACAATATTTTGGTGTGCTTGACTCGAAAGAATGCTAGAAGTTTGAAATCAGTGTTTTTCTGCACCTTTACTTCCACTTATAATAGGTCTTTTGGCTTCACCAGAGAGCTCTCTGCTAATGACACATTCAGATATATCCCAACAGCTGGTATTGAATGGAAAATGCAAAAACTTCAGCACTAATATTTCTTCACTTCCTTTCATTCTCTCCGGAGTGCATTCTATCCCTGGTTAACTTGGTGTCTGATTCCTGTCATGCTAAACTTCATCCATATATTTTCCAATAGAAACATGAGTGCATGTATAGACAAAATATCATAAACACGTGACCTGTTGCTAATGAATTATGGACAGTTCATTTCAATAACAGTGACGGCAAAAAAACATGATTGATTAGCCCAGTTCTACTAATGTGCGCAAGACCAAAAAACTCTCCTACCTTTGGATTTACTACGAGAGCTACATCACCAAATAAAGCCATTGGTCGTGTTGCAGCCATCGTCAAGAAATCACTCCAGGTGATTAGTTTTCAAGATATCATTGCTCACAGCAACAGAATTTTTAAAGGGGAATCGGCATAGAGAAGATAAAGTTCATTTCGAAGCTTCACAATCAAATCATCATATCCAAATGACATGATCATAATATCAATTTATGCATCCTCTGGGTGTAGTGATTGGGACCAAAAAAAAAAAAAAAATAACAACATATTGGCTTTAAACAGGGAGAAAAGCAAGAAAACAGATTTGAAATTCAAGACCAGATCAAGCTATAATTTTCTAGTTATACGGCTGCCAGGAAATCGTAACCATTGATATAGTCTTGAATAATAGCTCCCCCATAATGTTTATTGATTTTATCAAAAAAGTCAAGGTCATACACCAAGAAACTAAGGGATGCAGAGAGAGATACCATCACATTCAAAAAGATGTAGCATATTTGCTGGGAGAAAAACCACCAGCAATCCCCATAACAGACGAAGAAATTCCATGCAAAAGGTTCATGTAGCGGTATCTAACCATAATAGCCTGCAAGCCAGAGCATTATAAGAACAAAATCAGATATTTCACCACTGCAGCATTTTAAAAGAAAAAACAAAAGCTAAAGCCACCAAATAGAACACATTGATAACTCTAAATAAACATTACTAGGAAGCCACGGTTCCTGTCAAGATTTGGCCTGAGTTGCGCTTGAGACTCCCACCTACAATTAAAGCATTACATAAATAACAGCATATAAATTGACGACTATATCAAAAACACTTCTAGATCTAGCCACACACCAATAGAAAACAGAACAAGGAAAAGCCACATTCCAGTATGCCCGCATGCCAATATACAGAGGAGTCACCGACCCAAAAATTATATAACCGTGCGCTTCATTCTTCAGCACAGCCATTCAGACTCAAAACATTTTGCAATAATGCAGCTTGCGTGTCCAAAATAAATAAATAAGAACAAAACAGTTAACAAAGAACAAAAATTTAGATGAATTTATTTGTTTCCCCTCGATAATCCGTGCTTGTTAATAGCATAATTCCCACAAAATTCACAATACCACATAACAGATCTCCCTAGAATCTCAATCTTATATTTACCTTCAAACCACCAGCATTATCATCACTAAAGTTGCTCCACCGCACTCCCAGGACAAACCAACAGCTCCTCGTCAGGTTCATTTACGTGCCAATCAAATGTTTAAATGTTCCATTACCACAAGAGACGTATTGACTGCCGAAGGACGTGCTTCACATGAGAGGTATTTAATTTAATTTAAAACTAAATCCCAAAGCAAAAACAAGAATATCAGCACAATCATTGACTCCCTAAAGAAAATACTGTGTAAAACATCAAATTACAAAAATATAGGCTTTCAGTATTAGTAGTAAAAAAATGCCAATTATAGATACGCTTTTCTGTAGTAAAGTCGAATGTGAAGACGCCATTCTCTGATGCAGTAACTAAAATATAAAAACGGATGCCCGTCATTGCAAAAGAATGAATTACTCCATTTTCGCCAAAGCTAAAAGCTATTATAGCCATTGACATTTTTAACTACCAAAAAACTAAGTTCATGGAAAGAGTTTAGAATTTCGCTTTCCGATGAGAATTAAACTATTCTTCCCGTCAAAGAGGAAAGTTAAAATTTTAGCCTACCGATTTGCTTAGAAAACAAAGGAGCAAATGATCGGATTAACAATAAAGCGATTAAGATACAGCAGCTGTAATGCCCAAGACAAGAAAAAGAAGTAATGGAAAAAAAGAAAAGCTTTCATCCAGTAACATTATAAATAAAATTCCACACACGTCCGACAAGTTGCCTAATAGACGACTAGCAAACAACCCCCAATCTGCACAAATAGCAAAATAGATGCTGAAGATAGCGGCGGGAAAGCAAAAACAAAGTACCTGCAAAATGTCGAGGTCTCGCTCGATTGAAATGCCAACGAGAAAGTCAATGCTCCGGCGTATTGCAAGCGGAAAGAGGAGAATCAGAGGACGACCCTTAGAGTATCATTGGACATCGGCGAGGAAAATCGCCAGATGCATAATCAAAAACAAAACTTGTCAAAGATTTTTAGATCTTCAGTGTATCTTATGCCTCACGGTAAATGCATTTTTACGAACGTTCTCAAATCATTCTGGGATTATGGCCACCTTTTTCTTTTGAACGGCTTGAAGAGCTTTTACCACAAGGGGCTCCATACTACCAAACCACTTCTTACGAACAAGTGGCTCTGTTACGTGATTAAATAAATGAAGACAATCTCTTAAGGTAAGCGAGCATAAAAAAAATAAGTATTAACATCACCATGAGAAGATTATAATACAAATAAATAAGCCTGATCCGAGAACATGCAAAGTATGTGGCTCCTTTTTCTCATCTAATCCTGTCCCCCAAGCACAGCCCATACTCGATGATCCCTGGCGCTCAATGGAGGGGGGAAAATCACCCATCGTTAACTATATACACACACAATGCGTGGGTCTCAAGCAATCAATCAGAAGCCGTTATTGAACTACAGCTTAGAATCAATCAATCAAATCAGTCACGTAACGTTCAAATTACCAATTAGGAGCATTTATTGAACTGCCGTTTAGAATAAATCATTCACTAATCAATCAAATCAATCAAGTAACGTTCAAATCAAAAGCATTGTTCAATGCAAGCTTATTTTTCCCTTATTAAATCTGCGGCTCTGTTATATTGGGGTTATTAATATATTAAAAGAAAATTCGTTGGCCAAAAAAAAAAAGTTAGAAAGAAAATTCCTTTGCAAAATTTTTTAGGGGCTAAATACACTTAAAAAATATTTTAGAGTATTAAATGTATTTTTCAAGGTGACAATGTATTTTTTTTTTTTATAATAATACTGAATATACCTTCCCTAGATAAGATATAAAATAAACTTTGAGAAAGTCCATGTTCATGTTGTTCTTTTTGAAAATAAAATTTTTTGGGGTTGACTATAATAATGTTAATTTAATTACACATATATTATTTTCTTAGTATTGCATAAAGGAAAGAATTATAATGATGCTAGTTGGGAAAAAAAAGAAGAAGGAATTCTGGCAAAAAAGAAGGACAAGAATTACAAAGTGGCTTTTTTTTTTTGGCAATTATCAAAATCAATTGATACAAAATCACGAAGCTATGGGGAAAAAATAAAAGGGAAAATGACAGATAAAGAAGTTGGAATATCTGAAATTCTAATTTGGGAAGCTAAGGAAATGTAATGACAATGAGGGAATTCTTTCTCAAATTGGAATTTTGAAATTCAGTAAAATGATAAAAATACCCTTTATCTTTTTTTAAAAAAAAAAACTCAGCCCCTCACCGGCGGCCAGCCGTCGCCTTCGACCACCGGTGTGGTGGCTGCTAGTGGAAATTTTTTTGTAACAGTTTTTTTTTGTGTGGGAGAATATTGCAAGAAGTGGTGGGGGTGGGATTTGATCCCACAACCCCTTGGTCATTTGGGCCAACAAAAAGGCAGATAACCATTGGGCCATCAAAGACTTCTTAACTTTATAATACAAACAAAAATATAAGTTGACTCTTTTACTGTGACTCCAGCCCGTGACAATAATTTACCTCAGGATGACAAGTTTTAATTGAGAAATAACAAGTCTAAATTTGATATTAACAAAGCAACTTTTCCTTATACATAAGAAGAAGTAGCATGTATATTAATTAAAAATGACAATTTATTTGAAAATAACACGTCTTTACTGAAAAATGACACGTATAACCGTGAGATTAACAATATGTCTTTTTCTGATACATAACAAGAAGTAGCATGTACATTAATTAGAAATGACTATAATTTATTTGAAAATGACACGTCTTTACTGAAAAATGACAAGTCTAAACTTGAGATTAACAATGTGTCTTCTCCTGATACATAACAAGAAGTAGCATTAACAATATGTCTTCTATTGAAAAATGACAAGTCTAAACTTGAGATTAATAATGTGTCTTCTTCTGATACATAACAAAAAGTAGTATTAACAATATGTCTTATACTGAAAAATGACAAGTCTAAACTTGAGATTAACAATGTGTTTTCTCCTGATACATAACAAGAAGTAGCATTAACAATATGTCTTCTCCTCATACATAACAAGACGTGTCATTTTCAAATAAATTATGGTCATTTTTAATTAATGTATATGCTACTTCTTGTGTATCAGCAAAAGACATATTGTTAATCTCACGTTTAGACGTGTCATTTTCCAGTAAAGACGTGTCATTTTTAATTAATGTACATGCTACTTCTTGTTATATATCAGGAAAAGTTGCTTTGTTAATATCAAATTTAGACTTGTTATTTCTCAATTAAGACTTGTCATCCTGAGGTAAATTATTGTCACGGGATAGAGTCACAGTAAAAGAGTCAACTTATATTTTTGTTTGCATTATAAAATAAAGAAGTCTTTGATGGCCCAATGATTATTTGTCTTTTTGTTGGCCCAAATGACCAAGGGGTTATGGGATCAAATCCCACCCCCACCACTTCTTGCAATATTCTCCCACACAAAAAAAAACTGTTACAAAAAAATTTCCACTGGCAGCCACCACACCGGTGGCCGAAGGCGGCGGCCGGCCGCCGATGAGGGGCTGAGTTTTTTTTTTTTAAAAAAAAGATAAAGGGCATTTTTGTCATTTCACTGAATTTCAAAATTCCAATTTGGGAAGAACTTCTCTCATTGTCATTACATTTCCTTAGCTTCCCAAATTGGAATTTCAGATATTCCACCTTCTTTATCTGTCATTTTCCCAAAATAAAATTGGAATGGAAATATTGTGTATTTATTGAAGGGTGTTCAGAAAATCTGTGTAGCGTGTGATTTAAAGGGTTTCTTTAACAAATAGTTTCATGGTTAATATCTATGCTGAGAAAACAGATTCAGTTAATGATTAAATTAAAGCTATTACCTAATAAAAATAGCAATTGGATAAAAATTATACTACTTGATTAAATTATTAGAGCGCTGGCAAAAAAATTTTTTTTTTGACCAGGCGCTGGCAAAAAATTAAGTTATTAGGGCTGTGTTATATGAAATAAATAAAAGTTCTAAAGTATGCTCTAATTATCATATGCTAAATTTTATATTTATTAAGAATTTCAAACGAGTCCATCATTACGTCATTTTTTGTAGAAAATTAGTGTTTTTATGAATGGTTTTAAAATTTTATTGATATAACTCATTAAATTGTAGATTTTGTTTAATTAGATTTTTTTTTTGAAATATCTATTTTATTAATAATTATTATTTTTCACAGCTGGATCTTACAAAATTGGGACTATATTAGTTAGTCCAAAAGACATCTCCATCATGGGATGTCAACTGTCAAGAATTTAAAATATATTTTCATAACTCACTATTGACATTTTACTCAAATAAAATATAAATATTCACAACCAAGGGACGGAGAATATTTATAAGTCTCTTATCATAGAGGGGAAAAAAGCATCAGAGTTCATAGAAAATTTTAATCTTTTGATAGATTTATTTAATTTTTTTCAAAAAAAAAATTGGTTAGTAAATAAATATGAATCGTTCAAATCAAATGCATTATAAATGTTATCTCAAATTAAAATAAATTATTTTTAAATTTACAGAAAAAATCTAAAAATATGAAGTCCTGAAATTACTTTCTAAAATTTAGAGCGTATTATAGGAAGTATAGAAGAGAAGCTGTTCGAATTATCACATCTATAAAGAGGGAGAAAAACTTCATAATTTACCTAACAATCATGTTTATATACATTGTGAATTATATCAACTGCGATTGTGTCACGAGTTCAAATATTTTTGATAAAAATAATTCTTTATGTCCTAAGATCACTCGGAAACAAGGTCTATGACCTTATATTAGTTTTGTGATCTATAAGCAGCTATTTAGCCACTGGGTGCTGGGGTTAGATGAGACATATGTTACATTTGTAATAAGGTCTCTTGATATTAGATAGATGGTGGCACGTAGCACTACTTAAATATAGGGTGCAAACTGTGAATGTAATGAATGAGAAGACTTTCACACACGCACATATCATACCGTGGCAGGTGGCTGTCTCCTCCTTTCTTTTGTATATGATACTTCGAAAACAGAGACTGATTACAAGATGAACTCCTAGACATTTGTAAAATTCTAAACATGTAATCCATAAGACTTTAAATAATTCATACATTTCTCAACCAAGACATATCAAATTCTGTATCACTCATAGTAGAGACTTCATTGTTTGTTCATTTTTCAAAATGTATACTAATAGTTTCATGACACAGGCATTTCATTACTACTGCGTAAGAAATTACTCTTGACAGCTAGGAAATAGCATGATTTTGGGCTTGTTGTGAAAGTTGATACATCGTAATGTTATTTGTAATATATAGTTAGTAGTTTAAACTTGATGCTTCTATGCTGAACTACTCAGCATATATTTTGAGCTTGCACTTTAAGGCCGATTGATTTCTAATTCTAGTTACGCTTAGCAATAACAGTTTGCTTTCACGTCTAAGCATACAGAATAGATAGTTTCTTGATGTTGAGATGTTATCCCAGATTGCATGTAAAGCGGCTTCTATTCTTGATAATCTATGCTCCTTTTTTATTGTACCACAAACTAAAGATAAGGGCATCTTTCTATGACCTGTAAAAAGATTTGTATTAATTTAGAGCAGAAGATGTTTATTCTAAGTGAAATAAGAGTGTATCACAACTCAACAAGCTATTTACTTTTTGTTCGACCAGATTTACTACCAGTCCTAGTATGGTTAAATACCATGCCAGTGTGCTACTGAGTAAATTTCTGCTTTGGCAGCCAGCTGAAATGTTCCTTTATGATTTTATCCAAAACTGATACTACTGCTGCCGTCATAAATAGCGCCAACATTTAATGTTGAGAAGTTCGGATGCTACTAACGTGCAATTTCTGTATGAATCATGAATAATAGGTTGATAGTTGTTTATGTGAACGATGTAATATCTTGTATATCGAACATGTAGATACCTCTGTACCTGGGCAACAGAATTGTTCTGCATCAGTCTTCTCATTATCCCATAAGTCGAGTTGCAATTACGTCACTGTTAAAAGATAAGCGTATTTTGAATATTCTGGTACTATCAAAATGTGTCTTGTGTTTCAATGGTACTGCTTCATCCTTTTGATTTAATTAAGCTCTTCTGTAGACTCCAAACATGGTCATGACCACAACTACAATTCGCACCCTACTCAACAGGCATAATACCACATATGAACAGGACATCACGAGAAGCAACGGAATGCTATATAATATTAGCCAAATACTTGCGTTTGGCCGTCGCAAATGAGTTCCAATATAATTTATAAGCTTCATGTCAATGGCTATTATGTTTGAGATAAGCAGGAATGGTGTGTAATATTAGCCAAATGCTTTGTGTGGTGTGGGAGTACAATCTTGCTTAGTAATATACTATGAACAAGACATCAAGAGACTGGCAATAGTGTAAAAAAGGATTATGAGAGGTTATATCTGAAGAACCTGTCAATTAAGAGACACAAACAAGTATTTTCTAGGGGAAGAATAAGAATGAAAGATTCAAACAAGAACATAAATTAAATCAAGAAGCATGAAAAGCAAGGTTGTTATCTGCTTCTTCTTGTAGTTGCAATGCACGTTCAAGTAGCACTTCAACTTCTCCCATATCAGGCCTCTCATCGGGATCTTCACTCAAGCAACTCTCTGTGATGTCCATATACAATTTCCAACACTCTGCTGCTATTTCTCCCATCAAATGTTGATCAAAAATTTCCTCAGCATGTCCTGTTTCTGCCAAATTATGCAATTCCTTAACATCGCGAAAATCAATCTGACGCCTAACTGGGAATGGAGGCTTTCCGCAAATTAGTTCAAACAAAACTGCCCCAAAAGAAAAAACGTCACTTTTGTGCGTGACGTTAGTGCCCCTGTAGGACTCAGGAGCGATGTATCCAATACTACCTGCAACGTCTGCCTCTATAGGCCTCACATCCTTTTCTGAAAACTTTGGTCCTTTTAAAGAGAACCAGAAAAAACTGAGTTTGGGAACCCAATTCTCGTCCAAAAGAATGGCACTCGGTGTTGGATTGCGATGAATGAGGGTGCGTTTGGTTCCGGAGTGAAGGTAGTGTAATCCACGCGCCACCCCTATACTGATTTCTAGCCTTTTCTTCCACGAGATTGTTGCTGACTTGCTCTTCAGTTGATTATAGAGTGATCCGTTTGGGACGTAGTCATAGACCACGATCATTTCATTTTCATCATCGCAAAATCCAACCAGAGACACCACATTCGGGTGGTGTAGCTGGCACCTATATATGATATTGTTCTTAACCAATTGCAGGTCTGAGTACACAAACTTTCGTTCGAGCCGCTCCACTATAACATCTTTCGGTTCGCCATTGATGGAGATGCAAACCTTGTACGCCAGATAAAAGCCGACTTCTTCGATAATCAGGCTTTGGTCAAAGTGGTTGGTGGATTTTCGAAGTTGGGCAAGAGAAAAACGATGGCATAGATCTTCTATAGTTGCGGAAGGTTGTTGCATAGAAGTTGAACCACAGCCTCCGAAGCACTTGAGAAGGAACGCCATTCCCCTGTATGCGGTGAGAAGAGAATAGACGAGAGGTTGAAAGGGCTTCCCCTGTATGCGGTGAGAGAATAGACGAGAGGTTGAAAGGGCTTCCCCTGTATGCGGTGAGAAGAGAATAGACGAGAGGTTGAAAGGGCTTCCCCTGTATGCGGTGAGAAGAAGACAAGAGATTGAGGGCCGTTTGGCAGAGCGTTCAAAATCTTTCATAAACTAGTTTCATGTAAGTCGAGATACATATTTGTCTCAAATTCCGTAAATCACTATTAAAAAGCAATTTATAAACTACTTATAAGCTGTTCCAAACGGTCTTGAAAGGGCTAGAGAAAGAGTCCCAACGTACCCATTTTGTAGACCCTACGATCATTTTTAACTCAATTTTAATTCTTCCTGTAATTAATTAACGGATAACTCTTAATTGAGAAGGCCATCTTACAATAGTACAATATCACTATGTTTTTTTTTTTTATTATAGGTCACTTATACCTTAAAAATTTATTTCAAAATATAAGTTACTTGTAGTATAATTAATGATTTTTTTTTCTAATTTTACCCATATTAATTTAATAAAAAATTAATTAATTTAAGTCTAAAATAATGGCTCCTCAAAACACGTCCTTCTCTTTCTCCCTCTCCATATCTTTATTTAATAAGGATAAATGAGGAAAAACTAGTTAATTTAATGTATTTCTTGGTTTGCAGGTTTAGGATATAAGTGACTTATAATCACTGTTGTCAAACTCGCGAGTCGACTCTCTGAATTTAACGTTTTTACGTTTTTAGTTAACAAAATCATGTCGATTCACTTTTAAACTCATGATAACTATAAACTCGATTGAGTTTACGAGTTCATTTATCAAGTTTACTGTTTTTATGTTTTAAGCTTACAAAATCGTATTAATTCGCTCTTAAACTTATACTAAATTTTTGGATTTGATTATGTTTAGTGATTTTATATATGAATTTTATAAAAATTTCTTGGTTGAATGTGATAAATTATGAAAATTGATGGATATAATTTTAATTATTTAAATTTAAAATATATTTAAAGAAAATTATTCTCATTTTTTATATATTAATTATTTGATTATGTATTTTTAATACTAGTTTATTAATAAAAATAAATTCTTATGAGTTTACGATTCCGAGTTTATATTATTCTTACGGGTTTATTCAAACTCACAGGTTTTGAAAAACAGAGTGGCACATACCTTAATCTTACAAGACTCCACCGTTGATGCCCAACTTCAGCTCTTATTTATTAGCTGTCCTTTCACAGTTCAGTAATCAATATCCCTCCCAAAATTAAAATCATCTAATACTGATATCACTCATTCATTGTTTTATTAAGTTTTAGAAAACCAACAAAATATATATATAATGACCAAAATCAAAACTCATTAAAGCATACTAAAAGTGTTTAACACTTGAAAATATACACTACTATTGCCATTGATTCATTAAAAAACTGACTATCCCGAGCCATGTGTTTGATTAAAAAATTGAATATTTCCTTCACATGCAGGGAACATTTTTTGGCCTTTTAGGGGGAATCAAGATCAGCCTAAATTTGAACATTTTAATAAATTTGGATGCATTAACAAAAACAAGTATATCAATTGCTGTCTATCAAACACAATAATGTTTGAAGTTCAACATCCTTTTCTGAAAACTTCGGTCCTTTTAAATAGAGCCCGAAAAATGAAAACTATTATTATAAATTTAAATAAAAAATATATAACTAAATTTAAGCAGTGAAAACTTAAAAAATGAAAATTTTAATAATAATTTAGAGTTATGAACTATTTAGATTATAGATCAATTTTAAAAAATTAGATTTATTTATATATTTTTATATAAAATTGTAATAATAATTTGATAAAATATTAAATCCACAATATAATTAGCAGTGATGAGAAGAGACAAAAGAGAATAAGGGAAAGGAGAAAAGCCCCCTCCACGAACCTTCTCTGAAGTTTGATCCCTCAACTTCCGTTCTATAAAGAGGTAAAGAGGTGGCATGGATGATTAGTTGAAAAGCTCGTTTGATTACCATACATTCTATGCAAGGTTGAAGACCATCAATAATCTCTCTCTCTCTCTCAAATATCATTTTTTCATAATTTAGTAGTTATAGACGAAAATACTGCTATATAGTTATTAGTGTATAACAAATATATAGTTATTACTATCAAGTCATTAAAAAAATAACTGGTTATTTTGAGTTATTGTGTTTTATTAAAAAGAAATTGAATGTTTCCATCTCATGGAGGGAGAACATTTCCAGGCTTTTCAAAAGGTTAAAAAAAAAAAAAGCATGATCCGTTCTAATAAATAATTAATTTAACTATGTTTTGAATATACTCATATTAGTTATGTAGTGTAAATTACACTATAAAATGGATCTTATATTTAAAACCACATAAATACTTCATAATTTACCTAACAATCATATTTCTATACATTGTGAACTACATCAGCTATGATTGTTTCTCGAGTTCAGATATGTTTTTTATAAAATCAATTCTTTATGTCATAAAATCACTAGGAAACAAGGTAATGGTTGTAATTCCCTTAAGCATAAGAAGAATTTTTTTTAATATATATAATTAGGTACATGAAGGAAATGTACAGAGTTGATTTCATTTCAACAAACAATTGTACCAACCCAACAATGAAACACCACCAAGAAAGCCATCACCTATCAAAATTGTGTACAGAATTTACTGTCTAACCACCATCATATAACTGGCATCACAATGTTCACTAGGCCAATTTCTCTTTACCTGCTGGAAAAAGAGTTGCGTCATGAGGAAGTCTTTGGCAGTCAAAATCATGTTAAACGGAATGCGATTGTAACACTTGATCACCTGGGAAAGATGTCGTTTTTGATCTTTTTAGCGGAGAGTGCTATAATATTACACAAACACGCTTGTTCTGTTTCGGTTCACTTCTTGCTTTCTTCTCTGTTTTAGACAAGAAAGGTCAAGAATATCAATCATCCTATACCGACTCACTTGAGGCTATCCACCTACTCATGACAGACAGTGGAGGACACCATCCTTTTAGTACAGAGATCACTGAAGGGAGGAGGCTGATATTCTCTGATTGGGAAATTGAACTTAGATATGCACCTAGGGAGTCCATACAGTGTGCAGATTTTCTGGCAAGATAAGCACATCACATCATGGAGGACATGAAGATTTTAAACGAGTCCTAATTGGTCATTTTGCCAGAGTCGCTTGAGTAGAAAATATAGATATCTTATGATTGGTCTTTTGGTTAATTCATGCCCCATAGGCCATATGTTATTCAAATTGATAACAGGATCTTTATAAACTTTGACATTGAGTTTGGATCTCATATTTTCACTTTTAAAGCCTATGATTCTTTGCATTTAGATCTAAATTAGTTTATCATGACCTGTGCGGCCATGGTTGCTATGTGTTCAAGTGTTGATTGATAGAAGATTATGACAATGTTTGGCAATTCATAGTCAAGGAGACCGGAACGTGTAAAGAAATTGAATGAATTAATACAAAACTTACATGTGTATCTAGGAAAAAGGAAACATGATTTGTTTGTCTTTTGTGTCAGAATTTTGGTATTTTTTGGTTTACTGGATAAGTTATTTTTATGTGATCTTATCAATGGCAGGTTCCTTTGTATACAGTTCTTTGAAAACAAGGACTTGATTACAAGATTAACTTCTTCAGATGATGATATGAGATAGCTGAAAGACTCCTAGACAATTGTGAAATCCTAACTGTGTGATAAGACTTAAATCCCTAAATAATTCATACATTTCACAATCAAGACACATCAAATTCTATATTACATTTCTAGGCCTTTTAAGAAGCCAAAAAAAAAAAAAAAAGGGGTTCAAATCGTTGTAAAATTATATGGGTAAAAATCATGATTTGGGATTAAGAGTGGTTCTGTAACAACTCCCGTAATTCATGGTAAATAAACATTTTCAAAACAATAATTGTTTTAAAAGGCTAACCATGGTAGGGAGGACAAACCTAATCAAATAGAAATCTACCATAGTCAATAACAATCCAAATCTTTAACAGAGTAGTAGCTACTGTTCTAGAATAGTAAAGATAATTAATCAAATCAGAAAGGATCAACATTTGATTTTTCATGTATATATCAAATCCATCATCAATACTCTAGAATATCAAATACAATTAAGACCAATTGTAAATGGGCTAGGGCATTTGAAATCCACTAAAATAACTACCACTACTGCCCATTATTAATTGCAATCAAAATAACAATCACGTATGTTCAAAAAGGGCTTCGCCCAATAATACAAGTCTAGAATGCTGCGAAAAGGCTATGATTATGTTAAGTATAACAAAAAGGCCTTAAAGTTTGGCAATATACATCAGTCAAATCATGTATACCAAAACAGAGGCTATACAGAGTGGAAAGGAAAACTCAAGCCTTGGACACCTTCCCCTTAGGACCAACACCTAAACCCTCGCTTGAAAAAAATGTTAAATAACCACAGGGTGAGTCAAATTGACCCAATAAGTACAATTCCAATTCAACAAGTATCGAGGGAGTGATTACAAGATAGCTAAGTGGGAAAAGTATAATTTCAAATAACATATAAGTTAAACATCTTTATAGAAAACAATATATAATAATTCAAAAAGTAACTTGCATGCATAGGACTTCATCAACCATCCGTATAACCTCATTGTAACCTCTGACAGAACCCATGGGCTATTCACACATAACAGGATTCGTCTCTTTTACAAGACTACACCAAGCTCTCCAATAATAAGGTGTAACTCGGCTAAAAGTTACAGAGCTCATATCGGACCATGGGTTCCCTTTCCTTAGAATATGGAAAGGTGTCATGTCCCTTGAGCTGACCCTTGACCCGGCCAAAGGAAGGGTGATACCGAAGGTCTTAAGAATGTTAATGCCAACTACTAGGCGCCAAGTGGCGGTTATACCACGTGGTATAAATAATCAAACCTCCCACAATTTGATAATGGCATGACAAGCTTATTTAGGAGCTAAATTTTGGGGACAAAATTTCTTTTTGGAGGGAAGAATTGTAACATCCTAATTTTAATCTCTAAAACTTAAGTAAATTTGTGAGTAAATATTTATTGACATCACTTTAATAGTGGTTAATTATATATATAAACAATTAAAATATTTATGATTATATATGTGCATATATATAA